CCTCTATTTGCACTATATTCCAGCTAAATTAAACTATTTGCTATTTTTTTTTTTGGCTAGTTAATGGGGTTAAGCGACTTGCCCAGGGTCACACAGCCAGTAAGTGTTATGTGTCTGAGGCCAGATTTGAACTCAGGTCCTCCTGAATCCAGGGCCGGTGCTCTATCCACTGCACCACCTAGCTGCCCCATTTGCTATTTTCAAACACAGGATTCCATCCCCTACTTTCATCAGTCTATCAACAAGCATTCCATGTGTTACAAACTATGCAAGGTCCTGGAGATACAAAGACAAAAAGAACCAATCCTTGCCTTCAAGGAGCTACCATTCCAATGGGAAAGACAATATGTACATATAAGGGTATGTTAAAAATGAATATAGGCAGAGACAAGATGGCAGAGTAAAGGCAGCAACTCATCTAAACTCTCCCAACATCTCCTTCCAGATAACTTAAAAAAAAAAAAGGTGTCAAATCAAATTCCAGAGAGGCAGAATCAACAAAAGATTGGAGTGAGATATTTTCCAACCCAAGACAACTTAGGATGTTGACAAAAGAGGTTTATGACACTGGGGTGGGGGCCAGCCCAAAGTGCATGCAGTGACAACACCAGTAGTGGGCCTTGGAGATGGCTATGGCAATAGCGGCAGCTTCAGTTCTCAGTTCAGTGATGATAAGAGGATTATACAAGTGGTCAGAAAGAGACGAGACGGGACCCTGAATTGACACAGGGAACAAGAACTGGAGCTATTTGGCAACTCCATTGTCCATATGCAGTTTTGGGTCACAGTTCTAAGGCAGAGAGGAACATTTGTGGTCAGTCACAAGGGAACAGAGGCATTGGTCACGGTCCAGGGTAGAGAGGAGCGCTAACACTTGTGGCTACATGGAAGTAAGGGCTCTTCCCGGGTAAAAGCCAGAGCACAGCCCAGAAGAACAGTAACTACATCCATCCCAGGATAATACCACCTTAAAAGCACCAAAAACTTGCCGACTTCCAGAACTAGCTCTGAAAATAGCAGAGCAAAAAATCCTGAAGCAAGGAACAGTGCCTCCTAACTTTAACATAAAGTTCAAAGTCAAGAAATAGGCTGGAAAAAGAGCAAACAAACAAAAAAGAAGCTAACCATAAAAAAACTACCATGGTGGCAGGGAAAATCAAGACACAAACTCAGAAGAATACAATAATGTGAAAACAGCTATAAGCAAGGCCTCAAAGCAAAAATGTAAACTGAACACAAGACCAACATGAATTCTGGAAGAGTTAAAGAAAGAGATAAGAGTAGTACAGGAAAATTTGGAAAAAGAAATGAAAGTGATACAAGAAAATTATGAAAAGAGAATTAACAGATTGGTTAATCTGTCAAATTGGTTGAAGAGGCACAAAAATACTGAAGAAAATAACACCTTAAAAACTGAATTGGCCTAATGGTAAGAGGAACAAAAATTCACTGAATAAAAGAACTCCTTAAAAAACAAAATTGAGGAGCAGCTAGGTGGCGCAGTGTATAGAGCACCTGCCCTGAAGTCAGGAGGACCTCAGTTCAAATCCGGACTCAGACCAAACACTTAACACCTAGTTGTGTGACCCTGGGCAAGTCACTTAACCCGAATTGCCTAAAAATAAAAAATTAAGGAAAAAAAAAAGCAAAATTGACCATATAGGAAAAGAGGTACAAAAGCTCACTGAAGAAAATAATTCCTTAAAAATTAGAATTGGGCAAATAGAAGCTAATGACTCCATGAGACATTAAGAAACAATAAAACAAAGTCAAAAGAATGAAAAAAAATTGAAGAAAATTTTAAATATCTCATCAGAAAAATAACTGACCTGGGAAACAAATTGAGGAAAGATCATTCAAGAATTATTAGATGAAAAAAAAGGTTATTAAAAAAATGAAAAGAATTATTGGACTACCTGACAGCCATGATAAAAAAAAAAGTGGGAGGGGGTTGATATCTTATTTCAAGAAATTATAAAAGAAAACTGCCCCAATATCTTAGATCCAGAGGATAAAATAGAAATTGAAAGAATCTACCAAACACCTCCCGAAAGAGATACTGAAATCCACTGAACACCTCCTGAAAGAGATCTCAAAATGAAAACTCCCAGGAATAGTATAGCCAAACTCCAGGTCTCCCAGGTCAAGGAGAAAATATTGCAAGTAGCCAGAAAGGAATCATTCAGTCATTTCAAATAATTCCAAATATTAAGGAGCCACAGTCAGGATCACATAAGATTTAGCAATTTCCACATTAAAGAAGCAAGGGACTTGGAATATGATATTCTGGAAGGAAAAGAAGCTAGGATTCCAACCAAGAATAACCTACCTAGCAAAACTGAGTATAATCTTTCACGGGGAAAAATGGATATTTAATGAAATGGAGGACTTTCAAGCATTCCTGATGAAAAGACCAGAGCTGAATAGAAAATATGACATTCAAACACAAGAATCAAGAGAAACATAAAAAAGTAAACAAGAAAGATAAATCATAAGAGACTTAATAAGATTAAACTATTAACATTCCTTTATGGGAAGATGATACAAGTAACTCATAAGAACTTTATCATTATTAGGGTAGTTAGAAGGAGTCTACATAGACAGAGGACATGGGTATGAGTGAATTATGTTGGGATGATCTCAAAAAAAAAAAAAAAGAGTGAGAAAGAGGATGTACTGGGAAAAGGGAGAAGGGAGAAAAATAGTGAAAATTATCTTCATAAAAAAGTATCCAAGGAAGAGCTTTTACAATGGAGGAGAAAATAGGGTGGGAGGAGGGTGGCAGGCAATTCTTCAACTTCACTTTCATTGCAATTGATTCAAAGAGGGAATAATATACATACATACTTAGATGGGTATAAAACTCTATCTTACCCAAGAGGGAAGGAGTAAGGAAAGGAGATAAGGGAAATGGGTGCGGGTCAGTGATAAAAGGGAGGGCAGATTAAGGGAGGCAGTAGTCAGAAGCAAAACAGACATCTGAGGAGGGTCAAGGTAAAAAGAGAGAGAGAGAGAGATAAACAGAAAAAAATAGGATGGAGAGAAATACACAGTAACCATAACTGTGAATGTGAATTGGATGAACTAACTCATAAAATGGAAGCAGATAGCAGAATGGATTAAAAGTCATAATCCAACAATATATCGTTTACATGAAACACACTTGAAACAGAAAGACACACACAGAGCTAAAATAAGGAGCTGGAACAGAATCTATTATGCTTCAGTTGATGTAAAGTAGGTAAGGGTAGCAATTGTGATCTGAGACAAAACAAAAGCAAAAATCAACCTAATTAAAAGAAATAATCAGTGAAACTACATTTTGCTAAAAAGTACCAGACAATGAAGTAATATCAAAAGAATTTTATAGCAAGTTTCTCTGATAAAGGCCTCATTTCTCAAATATATATGGAACTGAGTCAAAAAATAAGAGCCATTCCCCAAATGATAGTCAAAGAATATAACAGGCAATTTTCAGAAAACAAAATCAAAGCTATATATAGTCATATAAAAAAAATGCTCTAAATCACTAGTGTTTAGAGAAATGCAAATTAAAACAACTCTAAGGTACCAGCTCACACCTATTAGATTGGCTAACATAACAGAAAAAGACAATGACAAAAGCTGTAGGGATGTGAAAAAACTGGGATACTAATGCACTGCTAGTGGAGCTGTGAACTGGTCCAACCATTCTGGAGAACAATTTGGAACTATGTGCAAAAGGCTATGAAACTGTCCATACTCTTCGCCCCAACAATATCACTACTACGTCTGTATCCCAAAGAGATCAAAGAAAAAAGGAAAAGACTTATATGTACAAAAATATTTATAGCAACTCTTTATGGTGGCAAAGAATTGGAAATTGAGGAGATGCCCATCTTGGGGAATGGTTGGACAAATTGTGGTACATGATTGTGATGAAATACTACTGTACTTTAAAGAAATGATGTGGGTGATGGTTTCAGAAAAACCTGGGAAGACCTGTATGAACTGATGCAGAAGGAAGTGAATAGAACAAGGAGAACATTGTACACAGTAACAGCAATACTGTAACAAAGATCAACTGTGAAAGACTTAGTTACTCTGATCACTACAATGATCTAAGAAAAATACCAAAGGATTCCTGATGAAAAATGTTATCTATGTACAGAGAGAGAAGTGATGAATTCTGAGTACAAATGGAAGTATAATTTTTTCTTTGACATGGTTAATATGAAAAGTGTTTTCATGAGTTCACATGTATAATTTATATCATATTGCTTGCCTTCTCAATGAGCTGGGGGAGGAGCTAGAGGAAGGGAGATAATCTGGAACTCAAAATTTTTTAAAATGTTAAAAAAATTATTTTTAAAATAATACAAGGGTATTTGGGGATGACACATAATAAAGCTGGAAAGGTAGTTTTCTGCCAGGTTGTAATGGGTATTAAATATAAAACAGAGATATTTATATGTGATCTTAAAACTGATGTAGAGCATTAGTGAAATTTACTGAGTTGAAGAGGTATATGGTAAGGCATACGCTTTAGGAAAATCACTTTGGCAGCTACACATAGGATAAATTGGAGAGGATAAATATCTGAGGTAGGGATGCCAATTGGAAGGCTATTGTAATAGCCTAGGAGAGAGATGATGAGGGTCTGAACTATAAAGGCTGCTTTATGAGCAGAAGTAGGGATACATATGAAAAAGGCTGTGGAAGAAGAAATGTTGAGATCTGGTAACTGAATAGACAGGTAAGGAAAATTAGAAGTAGAGTATAATGTTGAGGTTGTGAAATGGGGTAATCTGGTGCTCTTTACATAAATAAAGAAGTTGAGGAATGGGCTTGTAGGGCAAAATAATGAGTTGTTTTAGATATGTTGAATTTGAGATGTCAATGGGACATGCAGTTAGAAATGTCCAGAAAGTAGCTGATGTGAGACTGGAGCTCAAAATGGAGACTAGCTAGGAGTCATCTGCATAAAGATAATTAAACTCACAGAAAATTGATGAAGTCATCAAGTGAAATAGTGTAGAGAGAGAAGGCAGCCCAAGACTTTGCATAGGCTATTCCCCTATGCATTAGTTCTACAATAAGACTTTCCTGATTCCCACAGTAATTAGTACTATTCTTGTATTTTCTTCTTTACTTGTACTTTTGCACCAGAGTAGAACCTAAATTCCTAGAGGGCAAAAATTGTTTTATTGTCTTTTTCTTTGTTTCCCTATATTACCTGCACACAGGAGGCACTTAAGTGTTTGTTGAGTTAAACTGAATCCATTAAAGTATTTTCAAGCACAGTAATATTTTGCCACAAAAGAGGGCCTCCCACTAAGAACTATGTTGATATGGTTTGCAAAATGAAAACTAAAATACCATTTTATTGCCCTAAACTTAGAAGAAAGTTGTTTTTAAATACCATCACGGTCCGCCATGCTGTCAAAGAAGAGCCAGGCAGAGTCATCTCGCCCATACTTTACAAAAGCAACATAATGGCTTGTTTCAATGCAGAGAACAGCAAACAATTCCATCTTCTGACAAGGTATACAGCCATGTCTCCAGTCCCAGTCAGGTAAGTCTTTGGGAAGTGACACTGGGTTGAATTTATGATTCAACCTCTTGGGATGAAGGTGTACCTAAAGTGAATTATTTAAGAGAAATGAGTGAACAACCTTTCTTTTTACTGTAAGTTAACAGATGCTCATATATTGTTCATTATGAAGCCCATTTACTATAATGCTAAATTCAGCATTTTAGGCCAATGCATTTCATTAACCCTTACTTTTTAGTAGAAGCCTTAAGTATTTCATAAAAGCTTAATGACAGAATGCCTGAGGAAAGTAGTCCTTTTTATAATAAAAATAAAATTAAATATGAATTCAAAAAATTTATACTTTGAAATACAGTTAAAACCTGAACTCTCTTTAGTTGGAATATTTTTCCCCACTCAGTACAGAAATAAAATACAAAACATCACCATAATAGTAAATTATATTACTTACCACATAAAAATATATTTATCAACTAAAGTCAAACTCACTTGTGTGTTGCATGTTTTACAAAATTGCTTGATTTTTCCAGCAGAAATATCAGAATCATCATAGCATTCTCTGCATTCATACATGGCAAGTCCTCCACATATCCGGCACTGTCTGGGAGCTACATTTTGGTAACAAATAATGCATCCCTCCATTAGAAAGCAAAAATGTCACATTTTCAAAGAGACAGTGTTTATGTCATCCCTAAAAACTTACTCTCCCACCCTCATGTATTTCACTTAGATCTTCTTAAATTTAAGGTATCTTTAATCACACCACCAGAGAAAAATCACTTGCAAAAAAATTTGATGTTTATACTTACTATCTTCAAGTAAATCTGTTATATTTAACTCCAGTGAAGGAAAAATTTTTTTGAAGAGTTTGAAGTCTTTTCCAAATCGAGGCATCTGAATAATCAGACACGATGGTGCCTTAAAAATATATACATATATATTAAGGTCAAAGTCCCAAAACGAATTTTTCCTATAAAACTATAAACATTCCTACTGTGATTTAGGATATAATGTAGATGAACTATAAATACATGTATAATGAAAATATTTTCAACGTATTTTATGATGACATCCAGATTTAAATCGTGTAAGCAGCTTCAATATCGACCCACGTTTAATCACATGCTGATATCATGTTGTTCACAATGCTGTGTACCAAATAAAAACAGCAAGTGGTAATGGTTATGGTCCACTGTGCTTAGGTTCATAAAATAGAGGACTCTTTTTTGCAACTATGGCACAAAACAGTCATTCATTTCTTTATTTCAAGAAATATGAACACTTGTCCATATTAAAATTCTTTCAAAAATTAATACAGTAAAAATCCTACTAATAGAGAGTAATCAATAGATTTTAAAATTATTAAAGTTTTTTGCTTTCACTGAAGGAAGGAGAAAGTAAAAATTCTTTTTTGACATATCTGAGTGGAAAAAATTTCTACTTGGACAAAATGCTAAATATTTTAGCCATGAGACATAATAATGGCTCTGTTTCACAGGATATAAATGTCTTGTTTTAATCACCTAGTTATTTTATTAACATAGATTAGTTTAAGGTTTCTCTTTGCCCCCAGAAAGCCAGAATGTTTAGTCTTAATATTTTTCATTTGCACCAGCAGATACGGCACTTCATATTAACTGTTCTGCTTGATTTTTAAAATCTCAAACTCTGCTCTTCTATTTAACATGTATACAGACAGATATTGACTTTACTACAGGACCAAGCAGTCATAAGCATTAATATAATCATAAGTATTAATAAAATTCAGTGAAGACTAGTCACTAACCTCTGCAAATTTTAGGTTACTATTGATGAAAGACCATTCTAGCAGCTGTTGAATTGTAGGAACACCAACTTTTTCATTTTTTTCCATAAAAATCTGATAGAAGTAACAATCTTGTACCTTTTGTCCTGCAGATCTAAAGGATAAAGAATACTCTGTTCTTAAAACAAATAAAGACTAAGGTGATTTGAAATGCTACGTCACAATGTGAGGATGTTCAGAAAAAAGTAATTGAGAAACAGAAACACCATACATTTCCCTAATTTTAAGTGCTCTCTCCAGAGAGCTAGAACAACTTTATAAAGAAAAGGTGAAAAATATGGACCAAATATATGGTTAACTACCTTTTAAATATTAGATGTTAAAATATTTTAAAAGTTGGTTTGTGTGTGTGACTAGGAAGGAAACAAAGGAATCATGTTAGAGCCAAAAGGCATTAATGATCATAAGCAGAATGCTTACGGTTGAATATTTACTAGAAAGTAGTAAATGACGCCCCCACCTGGATCACAGCCTTGTTGTGGTGGAGGGACTTGCGTAGCTCAATAAAAACTATGAGCTATGCCATGCAGCATTACCCGAGAGGGACAGGTCGCAGTGAAGAGTTCTGACAAAAGGTAATCCATTGGAGAAGGAAACAGCAAACCATTCCAGTATCTTTGCCAAGAAACTCCATGGATTAAGATGCTAAAAGATATGACACCGAAAGATGAGCCTCTCAGGTCGGAAGGTGTCCAGAGGACAGAAGGGTCTGGTATATTACAATCCACAGGTCATAAAGAGTTAGACATCACTGAATGACTGAACAACAACAAAAGTAAACAGCATATGATGACTGGGAAAAAAAAAACTGCCAATCCATGATCTGGATAGGGCCTTACAGATAATTTACTTAATCTCGTTTTATAGAGTTTCATGTGAGTTGTTATTGAAAAGGTCACAAAAGGAATGAATAGTAGAGCAAAGGCTAGAACTCAGGTCTCCTTCTTTCCAGTCTGTTGTTTTTTCCCTTTCAGGATGCTGCTTCATTTCCTCAACTAGTATTGTCTACCATTATTATAATTACCATAACTGGACTTCTCTTCAAAATGAAATCATTTTTTAAGAACATTCAATTTTTGAGTCATAAGCTATGCTTCAAAAAGATTAATTTTAAAATTTGGTAATAAATTTTAACAGCATCCCTAATTTGTGTGTGTGTTGACTTGAGATATCTAAATTATTTACTATATCCATTTTTAGAATTTTAGGAACAAAAAGTTAACACTATACATGTGTGTCTATATTTATACACATAGACATGTATTAATAGACATACATCACACAATAAAAGACATATACAATAAAACCTTGTCTCTCCAGGGATCAAGATTCCAGAACAAAACCAAATCTGGATATAGCAAATAAAATATACAAGCTAAGAAGAGGCAGAATTTTATAGTGGAAAGAGTACTGAATTTAGAGCTCAAGTCCTGGCTCTGCCATTTATTTGTTTGCCTTATGACTACAAGCAAAGTACTTCCTTCTCTGGTCTTGTATTCTCATATGTTTGAGGAAAATGGATTAGATTCTCTAACTAGTATTCTGTAGTACTCCAGTATTCTGTAATTCTGTGAAATCAAAACACCCTCTTTGACGGGGAAGAAGACAGCCTTAGATCAAAAGCGTAACACAGAACCATGACATAGCAGTAATGAAGGATTTCACCTCTCTGCTAATTCTTTCTTTCTGAAGCTAAAATCATAGCAGCTAATCATTTTTTGGCTTGTCTTTGAGACAATTTTATCCTTCAAAAGGTAAAGGAAGCAATGATGGGGAATGGTTTAACTGGATCTGATTCTCACCAATACAAAGGAACTGATTGCTAAATTCAAAATTATGAGAACTATGGGCGGAAGTAATTATTCCATCTTAAAATGTGTGAAAAAGAAAAGCCATAAACAAGCATGACATATACCATAGATTTTAAAAAGAACAGTTTTCAAAGGATTCAGAAAAAACAATAGGTAGGATTTCAAGTTCTATAATTTTATGGGGAAAGTCAGGCAAGTAGCAACAGCAAACTCTGAGAAATAAACTCTGTAGACATAAAAATAACTCCAAGAGAGCTGTCAAAAGAAACCAATGTGGATGCACAGGGAACTCACTCACCAACTTAGATTTTTAAAAATATAAAGCCAGGCATGGTATTACATAACCTATAATCTGTGCTATTGGGGGAGGCTAAGCCTAATGGATCAGACATCCACCTTTGAAATCAGGAGTTCTGAGAGCTGCAGTAGGACTACAGCTGGTCAGGTGTCAGCATTAAGTTGGCATTAATATGGTAAAACCTCTCCTCTCCCCCAAGGTGGTGGAAGGCCATCAGGCTGCATAAGAAGGAGTGAATTGGCCCAGGTTGGAAATGGATACAATTCAAAGCTTTCAAATGGATTAACACTGGAATTGGACTCATGAGTGGCTGCTGCACTTTCCAGGCTGGGTTGAGATAGGGAAACCCAGTCTCAAAAATTAAAAAAAAAGAAAAAGACAATATGAAGATAAAAGCAAGGTCTAGAAGAGTGGATGAGTATGTCTTCTCCTTAGCCTGCATACTTTATTTGCTATATGCAGGTTTTGATTTGTTCTAGAAGCTTGGTCCCTGAATAGACAAGGTTTTATAATATATATGTTTTATTGTGTGTGTATATGTGTGTGTGTCTATAAATAAATATATACATGTAAATACAGACATAGATACAGTGGAATAGTGTATGGCACAGTATATACAGAAATATATAGAGGAATAGTAGATGGCACAGTACCATAACCAATGTTTCAGTAATGCTAAAAGCCAGAAGCAGCTAGGTGGTGCAGTAGATAAGAGCACTGGGCTTGGAATCAGGAAGACTCATCTTCTGAGTTCAAATCCAGCCACAGACACTGCCTCAGTTCCTCATCTGTAAAATGAACTGGAGAAGGAAATGGCAAACCACTCCAGTATCTTTGTCAAGAAAACTCCAAATGAGGTCAGGAAGAATCAGACAACTGAAAACAACTGAACAACAACAACAAAAAGCTAGAATCAGTTTAGGCTAAGAAAGTCTATTTTCAGTTCAACTGAGGAGAAAGAAAGTATCAAAGAAGGGACAGGACTACAGATAGGGCAGATGATGAAAATAGAAACAAACAAAAAACAGTCTTCCATTTTCCAAAGAAAATTAATCTTTGGGCTAGAAAGGAATGATACGAAGAAAAATTATAAGACAGTATCTACTTATCCTTGTTAAATAAGTTCAAGTCACCAGCCCAGATTAAACTAAATCCCAAGGAATTTACAGAATTAGTTAACAAATGTCAAGAATAGAAAAGATTCTGTGGGATTGGAGAAAAGCAAATTTAAAAGCAAATTAAGTTAGCTTAATTTCTATTCCTGGCAAAATTCTAGAACATATTATCGAAGAGATAGTGAGTGAACATTTAACTCATTCAACAAGAAGTTATTAAGCATATACTATGTACAAGGATGCTGTGTGCTAACTGCTAGGGATGAAAAAACAAAATGAAGAACAGACCCTGCCCTCAAGGAATTTATGTCTTACCGGGAAGACTTAAAGACAAGCAAGCGAAAAATAATTTGAGAGAGAGAAGACATTGAAAGGTGGACAACCACAGGGTGGTGAAAGGCCTTAAGCTCATGCCATATGAAAACCAGTATGAATAAGGAAGGGATTTGGGATATTTAACCGAGAGAAGACTTAGGAGGTAATGATAGGAATCTTCAAGTATCTGAAGGCTTGTGATAGGAAAACAAGATTAGGCTTGTTCTGCTTGGTAGATCTAGGAACAATGAGTGAAATATACAGACTAACAAGTGAAGTCAATGCTAAACATGGCCTGTCTCCTGAATAATTTTAAAATGCTGATCAATCTGGTTTATTCTGGCACTGTTTATCAACCTGTACCCAGACAGATGCTAAAGAACCATTTTGTCTCCAAGACTTCTGAAAAACATCCCCCTTCCATGGAGGTTTATGCAAAATAAGGGCAGGCTGATAGTTTTTACATATGCTAAAGCTAAAGGCTCTGATTAAAAAAAAAGTCTGAAGACTGAAAAATTTGATCATCCTAGAAACTTTCAAAGATGTCACAAACTTACTTATTATTTACAAAATTCAAGTTAGTTCATGTATAAGTAAAAAAAATTCTGATAAGGTTCTCTCATATTTTTGGACATTCACTGAAAGATCAAGTGACAACTAAGGAATAAGTATGACAAAGCTATTCTGCTGCCAAATAACTGTAGTACTTACTCTGAGGAAGCAGGCTTAGTATCTGAGAATATTTTTTTAATCATCTTCCTGCCCTCCTCCCCAAATTTAAAACCACTGACTCAACCTATGGACTAAAGTATTTAGAATGTGACCTCTTACTAGAGTTAGTCCATCATATAATAATAGTCATATTACATTATTATGAACATTATTAATTAATAGTAGTAATAGCTAAATTTGTATAGTGTTTTAAAATTTGCAAGGTGCTTCATCTGATTTTATTTCAGTAGCTCTACAGAACTTCAAATTTCACTACAACATTAAAGATACAAATGCTAATGCTGCTTGTGACTAGAATTCTACTGAAAACCAAAGAGACAAACTGGGGGGAAATCAGAACTTAGTGCTGAATCAACAGAAGCACATCTTTTGATGATGAAGAATGTATGGGATTTGAAGTGAATTCTCCTGAAAATACTCCAACATAAACTCTTAAAGGATGAGAGAATGTTTTCTTCATACCGCATGAAGATAAAGTGCTTAAAAAAAAAAAAGAGCAGGTGCAAGCCATCAAATAAGACCACTGCTGTTGATGCAAAAATCACAGATGATATTTTCAACTATGTTGAAAAATAAAAACACATAGCAATAGTAAAAGAGATGATGACCTGGCAGGAGAAAAAGAGATGAGAAGCTGCTTCAGCTCTTGAAAAGACCAAAAAAAAAAAAAAAGCAACCATCTTATACTGATCAAGAAATAGGTCAGGAGTTAAGTATACTTCATTTTGCCTTTATGAGAAGAGAAAAATAACCAAAAAACAAAGTAACAATGGGACTTTTTTAAAAGCAAGTTCCAAAGTCAGTGTTGGGTTCCAGAGCAATTCAGTGCTATGCCCCATACCATCTACATATTCATAGTGATATCCCAGTAACCAATGCTGGAAATCATGGCACTCAATGTTTAATAAAAAGTTATGTCCAGTACACTCTGTTTAGAAAGTCAAAGAAATGCATAATAAATTTTAGAAAACTTTCCATTAAAAGAGTTTTAAGAATTCTGGCATACGAGGGGTAAATCTTCAGATATCTGGTAAACTGAATCATCCAAAGACTCATTCCCTGAAGGTTGCAGATAGCCAAAGAACCAAATGTATCAAGTTCAACAATTGTACTCAAGGTGAAAAAAAATGATTCATGAGTTATAGAATCGAAAACAAGAGACCCAATTTAAGACTAAATATTTAATTCTTTAAGTTAGTAACAGATAGAAGGAAATAATGTTCTTAAAGAATATGATTATCTTACAGTAAGATTCTCCTAAAAGGTTCATTAACTTATTCTATGAAAATATTTGTACATAACTTCATAAAAGGATGGTTTGCAATAACATTTCTTTCTCAGATTAAAGTCAAATTTAAATTATGATCATTTTCCAAACTAAGTTTATGTTTCTGGAGAAACTATTGACGAAAATTAATTTAAGCCATTGCGACTTAGCACATTACAAGCAATCAATGCAATACTAATGGTGAAGTCACTTCTACTGAAATTAAGACAGCTTTAAAGGGAGTATCAACTTTATTAAACTGTCATGAAAGGATTAGAAATTTACCTTATCTTTAATAATGGTTCTACCCTCAAAATATGATGAAACAGGATGTTCAAGAATTCTTCAGGATCTAGGTGAAAATGAAAGTAACTTAAGCAGAAAATATTTAACCAAATAAGTTCTGTTTATTTCTAAGTCACTTCAATTCCAAATTCAATTTCAAAATGAATACTGTTCTAATTAGCAACAGAAATCTGTAATTCCCCTTGTTCTTTAAAAGTGCAAAAGGTTTCAGACAAAGATTAAACCAGCACTGTCCTCCAATTTCACTATAATCATACTAACATTTAAATAGTAATACTAGTTTAATTACAATGTGATACTTGCCATTTTTAATAGGGTATTTGGGATAAAAGGATTAAGCCAATTTTCCCTACCATTTAAATAATAACTGTAATTTAATTTTTGATCAGCAGTACTAAAAGTCAGTTAAAGCATACTGAGAAGGCCAAGGCCATGAGTTTCCATCTCTATAATTAGTAGAAAAACATGATTCCATGACTCTTAGCCTAATCCCAGATAACCATCATTCTGTCAAAATAGGTATTGCTATAAAAAAAAAAATGGATGGCTGTATGCAATTCATCACCATTACTTGAAAAACTTCAATGGAAAAAAAAAAACATTTAGGCATCTTCTCCTAGATGGCATTATGCTAGGTGATAGAACTACAAAGACAAAAACAAAACAGTCCTTGTCCTGAAAGAACTTACAATTCAATTCAGAACTTAGAGGTTGATTAATTACTAAGGTAGAATGTTACACAAATTTTCAAATTTGCACACTGTATCACAGTAGTGGAAGAGGATTGGAAGCTTGTATGTTTTTTCTTTATTACAAAGGGATAGAGGAAATAGGAGAGTATTTCCAGAAATGACTGTGATATAAGAACAAAAGTTCTTTAAAAGAGTCAGCAGCATCATTTTCACATAAATAAAATGTTTGTCCTTTCTGCCTATATATTTATTCAAACTAGCCAGTTTCTTAAAAGAAATTGTCTTTTTTATCACCATTTTGTTTTCAGAAGACAGAAAATATAATTTGCTAAAGAAAAAGGTTCCATAAAGTAAATATTTAAAAGGTTACTTTTACCCTATGATAAACTGAATCTCCAGTTGTACACACACATGCCTTTAAATAACTTAAAATGTACTTCTATAATTCCACTTCAATCTATATTTACAACATATACTATCTATGAAGTCAATGTTACCTTTTTCCTCTGAGGTAAAACCTGATGCAGCCTCAACTTTCTCAAGTATTTTCCTCAGCTTCATAATTTTTGTGGCACAAACATATCCATATCTATAATAGAAGATAAAATAGCTATTTATTAATTTATAATAGCACTATAATTATACAACAATAAACATTCAGAATTCTACAAGTTTTAACTTCAGGATTTCATATATTAATATAATATCCAATTATTCTGAAAAAGTAAATTAGTACAGTTCCTTTTGAGACTGTGAGCATTTAAATAGATTCTATAGAACAAGAAATAGCTATCAAGATTATTTAATTTCTTTAAATATGTGATTTCTTATTGCCAGAAAAAAAAAGATGCATGTTCAAATTTGGTTTATATACAGAGAAAAAATGTTGGATATGGCAAATGGAAAGGGAAAAAGTCTACTTTATATCTCTATTAAAAATGAACAAATGGAGTTTTAAATATTGGCATAATAGTCATTGTTACCTAGGTTTAAATTTCTATTTGTATATAATACATAATTACTTTAATATATGATAATTATATAATGTTTCTATTATTATATGTACATACATACAATTTTTAAGTCAAAGTTTGCATTTTCCATCAGATATGGTATTTTTATAATTATCTGGATAAAGGCTTACACTAAACTATGAGGGGTGGGAATGGAAATATCCCAACAGTACTACAAAACATAACTGTAAAAAGATACTATGGATGATAACCAATGTGACCAAAAAAAAAAAAAAGAATAGTGATAGAAATGCCCAGTAAACCTTAGGTGAAAAGAAATGAGAAAAATTTTTATGTCTGTTTATAGTTATCACTCAGCATTCGCAGGGCTTCGGGACATAGGGCCCTGTGCACTTGAAAAACCACCAATAACTCTAGGCTCCACCCCAAACCTTTATTTTTAATAAATCTAATCATATTTATTTAACACATAAAACAAGTAAAACAATACACTGCATCCATAAAAAAAGTTGCAGTTTCTACACAAGAGCTGGAAAACTATGCAGTCTTCACAGTTGCTAGTATCAGTGCAGCAACTGCTTCATCAATTTCCTTGTCTTTTGAAAAGTGTAAGATACAAAGATCATCTGGGTGGGAGAAAATCATGTAACTGAGTCTGGCTGGTAGAGACATAAACAGGAAGCATTCCCAAAGAGAAAGTGGAGCCTGTAGTTCTTTAGTGCACTGGAACTTTTAACAAAATTTGACTGTTGATAACAATTTTGTGTATATATACTTATGGTAGTAAATAATAAAACATTAATAATATGTAGTATTTATGCATTTGTTGGTGTTGTTGAATTGTTCAAGTTGTTTCGACTCTTAGTGGCCCCATTTGGGGTTTTCTTGGCAAAGATACTGGAGTGGTTTGTCATGTCCTTCTCCAGCTCATTTGACAGACTGAGGCAAATGGAGCTAAGTGACTTTCCCAGGGTCACACTGCTAGGCAATGTCTGAGGCCACATTTGAACTCAGGTCTTCCCAACTCCAGGCCCAGTGCTCTAATCACTGTAGCACCTCACTACCCATTTATGCATTTGTGACTTACTAAATGTATTTTTTTAGTTTTCTTTACATATGTGTATCATCTGCAATTTTCCACAGTACACTGCAAATCTCCAAAAATTCCCATTTAATTATTGATGGCCAAACCACAAATAACCAAAACCTTAATGTGAAACCCACAAATGTTGAAGAATGACTGTATTAACAAACAGAATAAAAGTAATAAACAACTTCAAATTCCAACACTGAGAATAAAATGATTGATAGGTATCATGATACTTGGTGGCCTGAGATTCATGACCAGAATACAGAAGTTAAGGAGAAATGTATTCAATATTAGGTATGGGTGTTGGAGGGAGGCGTAGGATGAAGGTATTTCAAGAAGAGGTATATACACCTCTATGGAAGTCCATAGGCTAGAAAAAAATAAGGGAGAGTATGTGAGAAAGATCTAGTGAGAGATTAAGGAAATGTTAAAGTCCCTACACATCTTCATACCACTGAGCAGTTAATAAATTATTTCCATGGCATCATTCCTTATGGTATGAAGAAAGGAAGACTAGATATAGTTAGGTTGATATGTAGTCGGAAGAGCAACTGTATTCAGTTGCTGATCCTTCATTAAAGGATCCATAATCCCATGGATGTCTCTAGTGGCTTGCTGAAGAATGCCATACTTGCCACTATTCCTACTAATATTTATGCTGATGTCTTAAACAAATATAAAAGGACTATTTATCTAATTTGCTTTAAAAAAAAAAGATAGTGAAAATATTTAACATGTAGATAAAAGAATTAAAATTTAAAAAAAAACCATGACAAGCTTGAATGAGCCCATATTTAGATTCAATTAATTAAGTGTACAAGTACAAAATGGAAAGAATATGTCATAAAAGAGAGAAGTTTATGGGAAACAGGCCTAGGGGTTCTAGTTGACAAACTCAATATGAGTCAAAAGTTAAATTTAATTGATACTAACTCAATATATCCACCTTCATTGTGGATAATCCCTCCAATAATCCACACTGCAACTCAACCACTCCTGCTCAATCCATGCCACATTTGGTCCATATCCTCACATATGTTTGCCCAATGTACTGAAGATCTTTCTCACGTCACCTTGACTTTGTGAAAATGCCAAGATAACATTGTGGTATTCATCAGTAATTCCTCACTCTTGACACATGACCAGTCCTTCTTTTTCAAACATACATTTCATTGATGACTTTCTCTAAATCATTTCTCCTGCCATAATTCTTTGTTTATAACATATATAAATCCTTGCTTATAATATATTGCAGCAAGCTCATGCCATTTCCCTCAGAGTAGATCTTCACCTTCAATTCTTTGGATACATGACACACAGCCATACAATGTCAGTGGAAGACTGCTGTTGTTAAAAAAAGATGGATTTTTAGATCAGGAAAATTCATGTATATTCTCCATGTGTGTATATATACATATATATACACACACACACACGTACACATATATATACATACATATATACATATGTACGTACTACATATCTACATATGCACACACACAGATGAGTTTTATAGGTTGTCCATACAAAGAGAGGTGATGGACTCAAGAGTATAGACTGAGACATAATTTTTTTGGACATGGTCAATGCAAAAATTTTTTATGATTGGTTATGTATGCTCACAACAGGGGTTTTGTTTTTCCTGCTTTCTCGGGGGGGAAAAGAGAATAGGAGAGAGAGAACACAGATCTTTGTTTGAAAAAAAGTTTAAGAAAATTAAAATTTTTTAAAATGTTTTATACTAAGTTCAAAGTCCCAATTAGGTATTCTCACATACCACCTATCTCCCCACTCATCAAAACTTTTATTGGGTATCTGCTTTTATTTCTGCCAATATAAACAATTCCTACAAACCAAATAAAAACATGTTTATATTTCATGTACTAGGAAACAGAAAAGGTTTTATAACTATAATAAATATATTCCTTGTAAGAACCTTGTAATTTAAAAACACTCATCTGTTTCTAATATGAGAGTTAACAAGCAGCTACTATATACATAATATTTTCCCCACTGTGGTCCTAATCCTTTACATAAAAGGTATCCCAAAAGTCTTAGCGCAATTTAAAATTTTTGTAACTGCACTAAGACTTTTTGGGACACTCTATCAGAGGTGGGGAATCTGCAGCCTCGAAGCCACATGTGGCCCTCTAGGTTCTCAAGTGCAGCCCTTTAACTGAACCCAAACTTCACAGAATAAATCCTTTTATTAAGTTATCAAGGCAATGTGAGAAAGATCTTCAGTCCATTGGGCAAACTTATGTGAGGACATGGACCAATTATTGCATGGATTGAGAAGGCATGCTTGAGATGCAGTGTGGATAATTGGAGGGATTATCCACAATGAAGCTGGATATATTGAGTTAGTATCAGTATCAGTTACTTTAGACACATTATATAGAGTCTAAGTACAATAAACTTAAATGCAATTTGATATACCTACTTCATTTAGACACTATTCCTACTAATGTACATATATGATGATAAAGTGAGAATCCCAAGCATCTTGGTTTTCCTTAACCCACCACAATCACTAAAGTTCAATATATTCCAGTAAGGTTATTTAAACCATTTCATGGTACATTACATAATAACTTCATTGGAGTTAAGAAATCAGAACACCAGGATAAGTTATAATGGGATGATCAAAGTACATTTTTTTTTTAAAAGGTACATATTAGGACTAGGCATGGTGGCACACTCCTGTAATCCCTGCTACTAGGAAGGCCAAGGCTGATAGATCACTTGACCTTGAGAGTGCTACAGCAGGGATAAAGCTGAACAGGCATCTGCACTAAGTCTGACAGCAATATGGTGAGCCCGTAGGAGCAGAGGGCCACCAAACTGCTGCCTAAGCTGGGGTAGCAAACTGGTCCAGGTCAGAAATGAAACGGGTCAAAGTTTCTGTGCTGATCAGCAGCTGAACTTCAAGACCTGGTGAGAAAGAAAGACCCAATATCCAAAAAAAAAAAAAAAAAAGCATACATATGTGTGTGTCTATATATACATATATATGTATGTATATGTATATGTGTATGTATGTATGCTAATTATTTTCTCTTCCATATTACATAATGTGGTGGAGTAGTTAATTACCATACAAAGGTTAGCAACCAAATACCTATACCAAAGGCAGGATATTAAGCTATAATACTTTGTATACTTACATTCTAAGAGGATTTACAATCTCTGTCCTCAGTAGCTCTTGAGTTTCGCTATAATATTCTACATCATTCTTTTCTTTTGGCCTAAGTAAGACAGTGTCCAAAACAGAACTAAAAGAAAATAAGCTGAAAAACAAACATAAAAATGCATTTTGGGGAACTCTCAACACGTGGAAATATTAAGTTTTAATACAAGAACTAACAAACTGATTCTAAAAGCAAAAATAAAAATCGGAGGACCAAGATATAAAGTAGAGGGGAAAAGTAAAACATTATTAAATGCTAATGTTTTCAAACATGGAAAAACTGAAACTCCTAGGAGATCCATCATTCAATTTAATTTAGACAGAGAACCCATTTTATGCAGAACACTCACTGTGTTAGAAGCTGGAGATATGAAGTTGAAAAATAAAACTGTCTATGCCCTCAATTCAAATAACAATCCAACAAAACCCTACTATGTGCCACCCACTACACAAGGCAATATGGATACAAAAACAAAAATCAACATAGTCCCAACTATCTGAGAAGGGCTTATACTCTACACATATATACAAATAAGTATGATAAAGGTAAACTGAAGAAGGAAAAAGCACTAACAACTGGACAGACTAGGGAAAACTTCATAGAGGAGAAGGCACTGAAACAATCCTTAAAGGACAGCAATAATTCTGGGTGTTGGCGATATAGTTGAGACATAGTGGAATGTGTTGGCAATGTAGTTGAGACATAGTGGAAGTACCTTCTGGGCATGAAGGGTGGCTTGTGGGAATGAACAGGAGGAGGACTGTTAAGTATGGGGGGAAACTGGTAGCCTAGTTTAGACTAGACAGATTTGGTAAAGGACAACGGTCTGAAATAAGGCTAAAAAGGCAGACAAGAAACAGATTATACGGTCTTATAAATGCTGAACTGAGTAGTTTGAATTTTATCCTAGAGGCCAACAGGGATACCTTGAGGCTCTTACACAGTTGTGTGGCATGGTCAGACCTGTACTTCAAATAGATGACTTTGGCATCTATGTGGAAAATGGATTAGAAAAGGGAAAGACTAGAAGCAGAGAAACCAATGAGGAGCTTTTGTAGTGCTCTAGATAAGAGCTGACATGGGCCTGAACTAGGGTGGTAATCATGTAAATGGAGAGGACAAAGATGCAAGATATGTTGTGGAGGTAAAACTAAACAAGACTTAGAAACTGAATGGATAGGGAAGGTTTGAAGGAGGAAAGAGTCAAGGAAGACTATGGGGTTAAAAACCTAGGTGACTGGGAAGATGTGGCCCTTAACAGAAACAGGAAGGTATGGAAGATGGTCAAGATTAGGAGGAAGATAATGAGTTTACAAGCTAATGGAGGAAGGGGATAAAAACATACCCAAATACAATGTAATGTAAAATGTGGTAAATGAAAGGAGTCAGACAAAAAGGTGTAAGAAATCTGAGAATGAAAAGATCTTTCACAACTACAGAGTTGAGGGAAGCCTTCATGGAAAAAATGGAACCTACACTGGGGCTTGAAAAAATAGGATTTCAATACATGGAGATGTGAAGAAAACTTATTCTAGGTATAAGGAAAACTGTCTTTCCAAATGCACAGAAGTAAAAAAATTACAGGACAAATATGAAAAACAGGTGGAAAGAAATCCAGACTGCCTAGATTGTAAAGTGTGAAAAAGGAACAGGGCTAAATATGGCTGGCAAGGCAAACTGTAGCCAGGTTATGAAGATTTGAAGATACCTCTTATCCCCCACGAAGTCCTGCCAGGATGAAGCAACTAAGAAATAGGAAGGAAGAAGAAATGAAAATGGGATGGAAATTATTTTTTAGAATCCAGTGGGAAAAATAAGGCTTGACAATACTGAAGTTGCTTTTTTTTAAACTGCCTACAAGGCAAAAAGATAATTGGGTATGACAATTACAAGGAGACCCACAAGGTCTAATCATGTCAAAAGGGGCTGAAAATCTTTGACAAAAGTACTAATCTAGCCCAAAGACTGACAAATCCACAACCACTCTAGATTTGTTCAAATCATGGCTCTGTCATTTACTATTTTGAGCAAATTACTTAACTTCTCTCGGTTTCTGTTTCCTCACCTGTAAAATGATCATGTTAAGACTATATATTCTCTAACATTCCTTTCAATCCTAAATACCATGATGAACTAATTAAAAGGTATAATCATCACATGTTAACAAAGAAGTAACTCAATTCACTGTAGAACAAACTGCACATACAAATATCACAGGGGTTCTATTGTATATCTTTTGAATGGCAGATTTCTGAATTTGACCCTATCCCCTAAAATCTTTTGAATAGTTTATTTCTAGATGTGACTCTACCCCCATAAAAGAAACTTACTACATACCAACAAATGGACTGCTGCAAGTACCACTGTTTGATGCATACAGAGATGGCAGAACTTGTTCATTCTTTAGAGAATTAGATGTTTGATGTGTATTGCCCTTAGTGTAGTGTGCATTGCTTCTAATACCATCATTAACCTAGCACCTTCATCACTCAGCTATTTCAAACTTACCAGAATAAGGTAGAGTCTAAGTAACAAGAATTGTAATGGCCCTGGATACCTTTCTTCTTTCCAATCATTACCTCTAAACCTTCTTTTTCCATTTTTGGTGGAGTATTCTCTTCCACCACTTCACTTAAGTAACCTCCAAATGCTGTAAAGAAAAAGTCAACATGAAAGCAATTCTCAAAAAATAATTGGGTTGTTTGTTTCTACCCACACTTTCATTTTTCTTAACTACATTTTGATGCACTGCTACATAGCTACTATGGAAACCAGATTTCCAAGGTTAAAAATGAGTTTTACTTGCATTATTTAGCTCAGTTTACAAAAGCTGTAATTGATTCCTGCCTTTTTTTACCCTCAACCCACCCCAAATTTTAATTAGTAATTAACATATAAGCTTTTAAGAGCATATATAGCAGCAGCAAAAGTTGGCCAAGTAAAATTTTGTTGACCAAAGCAGAAAGAGTTGTTTCAATTGTTGCAATTAAAAGCACATTTTGTCACTAAAACATGTTCTTAATGCAAAGAAACTAACAGAAGGAAGCTGAGAAGGAAAAGAACAAGCAGGACACCTCTGAAAGTAACATGGTAAATTTATTGTATGCTTTTTTAAAAGTGCTTTCATAAACATTTATTGTCCAAAAAATTGCTAACATTTTACTTGCACCCACTCAACTCTTAAAATGAAGTATTTTTCAGTATCTATGCAAGAACTAAAGTTAACTAGTTATTAGCTAAATCTAGGCAACGGATAATTTCCTGAAACTGCAACATTTAACAGAGAAGAGACATGCCTTATGCTAATAAATCAAAAACAATTTTCTAGCATGAAACTAATTTATTTCAAAGTTTGTGCTTACTTTGTAATAAGCAATTCATTTAGACAAAGAATTTGGCGTAAAAAAGACTAAATTTTAATTTCAATCTTCTGAAATTACTGAAAATTAAATTACTAAGGACAACAGTAAAGGTTTAAAAAAAAAAAAAGAACTTCTTGATTTTTAAAAGTCTTCAGCCACTATGTATAGTTAAAATCTTGGAAAAATTAATTTCTCATCTAGGATAACTAAAAATGTAATCACTATGAGCCAATGAAGGGATTCGTTAATACTAAATGAAAAGGCATATTAATGTTAACCAAAACTGGCTACAATATTTTCATTTCTAACTACTAAATCCTGAGATTGGAAATGGAATCTGTTCCAAACTGGAAATAAATAAAAAAGGTTGCAAATACCTAAAGAGTTGCACCGTTCAATCTGGTTGGAAACTGGCTGAAGTGAGGCAAACCTAGAATCAGGCCTGCAGCTCTTGAGTTTAACGAACAGCGCTTTCTTCAGGGCACAGGTGAAATAACGCGTACCTCTGAAAGTTCCATCTGTGCAGCCTGCACATTCATCTTCCTGAAATAAAATATGCTTAGAGGTGAATTATTCTGCATGTACAAAGGTAACAGTTAAAGAACTGATTTTTTTTTAATTTATCTCATCCTTGATTCATTGGGAGTGATACTGAGATTTCCATTAGGATGATTATTTCTGGAAGTTTAAGACATTATTGAGGCTGAGGTCTTTTATTTTAAAAGTGACAAGTATGGACCCATAATTTCTTTTGTTTATTTTTAAAAGAAAGGCTTGAATCTTCTCTAGGCTACTGAATCTCTTCTACCACTACCCTAAGTAAGAAAAAAAAATGAAGCCATTAATTTCTTTGAATACACAATGATAAATATTATTCACAGCAATGAATAATGAACTAATAAGGAAAAAGGAAAGATGTGCCCTTAAATGAGTGACACTTCTCAGATTCTCCCCTTCTAAGACATGCAACAATAAAGGAAAAATCCTTCTGCATATTTCTAGAATTATTCTCTAAGATTATTATTATTAGGTATAGTAGAAACTATACCATTATTGGGATGAGATGCAAGGTTAATTGTATTCACAAGAAAATACCATTTCCAGTAGATTCCTCTCTTTCATCACTGAAGAGGTATTCCTAAGGTTAAGTCTTCCTACCTGTGGCCTTCTTACTCCCTCCCACTTCTTTTAGGACCTTGCATTGACAGTTATCATCTCTATCATGCATATTCTATCTCTCCTCCACTGATTCTTTCACATCTGCCCACAAATATGTCCAAGTTTCCTCAATCCTTTAAATAAGATTAAAAAAAAACTCTCCTTTTACCTTTCTACCTCATCTATCATGCCATCTCTCTCCTCCCAGTCACGAATAAGTATCTTTTAAAAGATGCCTGTAGCCAATGTCTCCATTTCTTCCTTTCCTAGTTTCTGTTCAACCTCTTACAACCGGGCTTCCACTTTCATTGCTTTATTGCAACTCTGAAAAGGTCACCGGTAATTATTCCTAATCTCCATGCTCAAATGTTTTGGTCATATTCCTTGAGTTCTCTGCAATCTTTGACACTGCTGACATGTTCCCAATGCTGCTAACCTCCTTCCTTCACTCCAGAAACACTATATTCTCCTGCTACTCCTCCTACTTAACAACCCTCCTACCTCCTTCCTATTTGCCTTCTTCCTGATCCCTTAAATTTGGGTTATTCTAGGTCCCTCCTCGTCTTACCCTCTACACTTTGTCCCTTGTCAATCTTAATTATTTTCACAGCTTCAGATACCATCTTTATGAAAGGGTCTCCTAAATTTCAACCTTTAGCCCTGACCTATCTTACATGTCTCTGATTATCACTATGGAAAAAAGATTTTCCCCCAGGAACTTATGCAGCACTTTAAGTCTCTAACATACTTATATTATTGTACATTACAGATATGATTGTCTTATATCCAACTACAAAACAAGCTTAGAGTGCAAGAGTCATGTCTTACCTAAACTTTCTCTCTCCCAGCACAGTGCTCTGAACTGAGTAGATGCATAACATTTATTAACTGAATGAATAAATTAATAAATGGAGAAAAGATTTTCCTGCTTATTGAATAAACCATTTAGTGGGCATACCTCTAAAGAGTGGCAAGGAGCCTCTTTCTGACCTATAGATTGAAAAGCTAGGCTCAATGTTTACTGTTTTGCTCATGACAATAAAAGTAAAAAGAATAAATTTGAAAGAAAAATGAAAAGTAGAATCCCAGATGGGGAAATTATTACCAAAATTACAAAGTTAGATCATGCAGTAAGTATGATCTTACTGTTTAAAAGGAATTAAAATGGCCTTTGGTAAAAAGGTTAAAACAGTTCACTTGAACTCACTAGGTTGTACTTCAATGCTTTAATGAATTTGTGATCTCAATATGAATACTGTGCAAAAAATCAAATTGCAACCTACCCACACCTTCTCATTTTATGTAACTTTTGTCTGTGCCTTCTTGTAAGTCATCCTTAGGGAGTGTATATAACATGCTGGGAGGCTTTATCTAGATCTCTTGACATACCAAAGGATCGTTTGGAGTGTTCATTGGTTTTTCCCTTTCTCTTAACCTATAATCTCTCCACCTCTTTTTCTGGTCATATATCTCTCTCTGAAAACATTCTTTCTGTAGCCTTTCTCATGTAACTCTTCACCAGTTAGAGGTTACTGGTGGATTCATGTCCACCTTCCACCTCTCCATTGTCATTTGAGTAGCCTGTAATTTTAATTCTTCGGAGACTTGTGTTTGATGACTCACAGCTATTTAATGTCACTGGGAGAACACTGATGTTTGATTCAGTGACTAAAGAATGACTAAGAAAATTCTGGTACAGGAATTATTTGGAATATTACTGTTCCATAAGAAATAACAAATATTGAGAATTTAAAGAGAAGACGTGCAGTGATGCAGTGAGGTAAGAGGAACCAAGAAAAAAACATGCACAATGATTATAAAAATATAAATGGAAAGAATAAAAAAACTTAATGTTGTATAATTATGACCAAATTTGGTCCTGGAGAAGAATTGAAAAAATGCAACTCCCTAAGAGTATGGAATATTTCATATACTATCAATCATGGGTTGATATATTGGTTGATTTAACTAAACTGCTTTTCCCCCCTCTTTTCAAAATTTTGAGTTATACAGAATGCCTTGATGGATACGAAAGGAATATAAAATTCAAAAACAAGTGATATAAAAACAAAAAATGACAATAAAAAAGATTTAAAAATTAAAAGATGCACTTCTGCTTCAAGAAGAAACCTGAGGTCATTAAAAGCAAAGGCAAGCCAGTCCAATATCCTTCTGTTCAATTCTGGGCCCAGCTCACTGTCTAGCCACAAAATCTATCCAAGGCATATCAACCTAAGGACCAGGCAGATATGTTGTCAACCCAATTGGATATCAGTTGGGACAACAGACATTCTTCATCCACTTGATTATTCCTGTGAAGATACTTAGACTGAATCCTTTTATGCTGATTAATATTTTCATCTAAAAGGCTCAGCAACGTTCCAAGGTTTGACGCTATCAGTATAAAACTGTCCCAAACAGGAACATTTGGAATATCTCACCATCTATAGGGAATCTCTCTTCCATTTGCACTCTGCACTGGGCATCCTCCATGACTGAGGCAAACACCTTTAGCAAGCAACACTAGAGGATTGAATAAAGTTATCTTTGTTGATATATATTTCAAGGAATCTCACATAATTTTGATATATGCATATGAGATACCTTGTTGGACAAGACCCTTTAAAACATTTCTACTGAATACTCTGTTTTATTCATTAACAATAACAAACAGTGGGAATTTCTATTCTATTCACTTTTCAGTATATTGAGAATTGATGTTAAGAGTCACAATGTGGTGGCTCTATAGTCACTAATAAGGAAAAAAGTTTGCTACAGAAATCTTGACAGATTTTTTTCTATTTTTCATCTCTTTACTGAGCTTCTAGTTTCATCCTTAAATGCCCTTAGGGTGATTTTAGCTTAGATAAATGTCTCACCAAGTTTTCTTTAAACTTGTTTTTTGTTCACTGCTTCTCACTGTTTTTTGAAGCAATACTGTTCATAATCTTCTATCATGGTCCTTAAGATTTTACAATAAACTTATATTCTAAGCCACTGTTGCTTTTGACTGCCATACCTTTCTGCTTCGTAAGTTCGAGTATTTGCATGTTGATGTGGTTTCCAGGCTTCAGCCTTCTAATTGTAGAGACTGGTTTACATTGGTTAAACTTCCTTAGAAAATGATGATAGTATGTATAAATCTGACTTATATCCATTTCTCATTTTTTGGTGTCATTTGTTTACATAGGTCAAACTGGAGTTCCCTCAACTATGTGACATATCTTCCAATTTTTATATTTTACTTTAACAAGTCAGTGGTCTGAGTGTATAAAGACAGCTTATTTATGAATGACTCCCACCTCTAATCCAACAAGCAAAAATTATTTATTCCATGTCATTAAAATATAATTTCACTTTTCATGTTATTTGATGTTTGCCATATCTAGCATTTCCTGACTCTATTCTCAAAGAAAGTATTTATAACATATAGATCTGGGGCTTCTACATAATCTATATTTCTTGTTTTATTCTTGAACCAAAAAAGTATTTTTTACCACTCTCCCTTTAAGCCTATCCTTGCACTGCAGTTAATAAGTATTAAAGTATATGTTCATTTAATTCAGAGGGTCACATAGAGTTCTTTGTAGAATTTCTATCATCTTTAACAAATGTCATTACATAAACTGCAATTACTTTCATGATCTTTTCATATATGCTTATCACAAGTACTACAATATGAGAAACCAAGATGTCTCTTGTTGCCTTCAGATAACAGTATAAAACCAACTCTATCAATTCCTTATTCACCTTTCCTAGGAGAAACTGGGAACTATTCTTCCATTTATGTGTGACTTCATTGTCTTCTGATTTCATTTATAGTGAAAATGTCAAGACTGACATGATTAGGTTTGTCCAGTTTTTTCGTTGGTCACCAGACAAGGATCTAACATTTGGAGTGCCTGCAGCTAATTTAATATTAATAGACAAATTAAAAAACTGTGTGATTCTCAGAACCCTCTCTTTTTTCCATTATGCCACTGTCCTTACAGAGTGGAGGAGAGCTACACAGGAGTGACAGTCATTTTATGTTTTCTTTATTTTGTGGGATGTGTTGGCCAAATAATTTATCACTAAGTGGCCAGTCTAAGTGATGATGACCCTCTGTGTATTTAGCTAACAGCTAGTCCTCAGGAAGCAGATACAGTCTGTTCCCAAGACTATAATCTAAGTATTTCAGGCATGGTACCTTGTGCTCTGCTTGCACAACCTCCAAAAACCCAGGGTCACTTCCATGCCATAATGAGGCACTGAAGTAGAATTCTGCAGAAGCAACGAGGTTAACAAATAATTGCCTATAGAGACAATTATTAACAAATAAGTCTCAATGCACAAATTAATATTGTAACGGCACAAAAGAGTTAATTTACTAAAATTATCAATATATTCTTATCAAAGGAATTCATATGGACTATATGTTAAAACTTATTTTTAACCCTTATCTCACTCTAAATGCAAAGATGTTAAAGTAGACTTCATGTATGTAAGCAGACAAAGCTACCATATTCCTCTCTCTTTTAGAAATATCAAGAAAGCATTTTAAAAATATCCTAGTCTGAAGTCTTTAACCCGAAAGAGAAACCTTATTAGTCTTTCTTTAACTATCAATTTTAAAAAAAGTCTTGCTCTCCTCTCTGATCAGGCCAGGAAAGACTTCTCCCTTTAACTAAGTAAGGCAGTGATTGGATGAGGGCAAAGGGCCCTTCCTTGACTAATCCACACTGGCAGAATTTAAGTAACAATCAGACTAAAATAAATAAGAAACCTCTGTCATTACTTCAGTTTTTAGAAACTGGAGTAGTATTGACCAGATGTAAAGGAGAAGCTTTAAAGGGAGTGGTCAAAAAAAAACTAAATGATTTTAGGAAAACTATTCTCCAAACAGCATGCTGACATGTAATTATTACGTTTGAAAAAGCAAACTGTAACAACTTTTACCTTACCCTGAGTTCTGTAGCTATGTTTTATTATACTATAAAATATTTCTTGTTCAAGAATCCTATAAATTGGGACTTGTGTTTTACTGACTAATCCCATTCTCCTGATCCAACTGAAAAATTAAAAAACAGTGAATAATCCAAAGTTTTTTTGTTTTGTTTTTTACATTTGGTGTTAGAATGCATCATAGCGTGATTTAGGTTGGGGATTTCTGGGGAATGTGGTGGGGAAAAAGGGTTGCCAAGACAAGGGAGGGAATGGTGTGTAACATATTTACTTTTCTAACTGTAACTGCCTAGTTATACACTAAAATTAATTTACATTCGCTGAGCACATACAAAGTAACAAAAAAGAGAACTAAATCAGAAATATATTGGGCAGCAGAAGCCAATGTAAGAATAAAAAAAAAACTGCTTTAAATGACCATACACACACACACACACACACACACACACACACACACACATCATTTTGATGGTTATAGGTAGTATTTGCCCATTTTAACAAACAAGAAATTCTACATAAAGCCCCATGTAGACAAGAATAAAGAAGTTTTGTGGGTCAAATCATATTACCAGTTCCAGTCCTGCTAATACTTCATTTAGTCCTGGTGGCTGACCAATCCAACGGATTACACCAAAGAAAGGAGGATTATCTTTAACTTCAGCCAACGAGCCTACTTCAAGACCATGTGAATTACTTGAGGGTACAGTCAAAGGTGGACTCTCCTGGACAGGGGGGTTGCTTAGTTCTCCCATCACTGACTGAACAGACAGAGACAGAGGACTATGCCCAATACCTCCATTGGTATTTGGCATCTTTGTCAAACTAAATGGTAAAGAGTGAAATCTGTTCTCATTGGTTGAAGAGTTCAGAGAAGGAGGTTGCAGAGGTGGTGAAGAATGTCCAAAATCTGGAGATATATCTGTCAGGGATTTTGCAGGGTCTTCAGCAACTATAAAAAATAAGTTACTCTTAATTAGAAAATCAACTCAAGTTTTATATTTTTTCTTATATCTTTAAAAAAATATATTTTACAGCCTCTATAGTTGAATCCACTATATACAAAATATCTTACATACATTCATACATGAAACCAAAATAATTTACCATAATACTATTACATTGCAACCAAAACTCAAAAGATTCCTTTCTATTTAAAGACAAATTTAAGTAGGGTTTTTTGGGGTTTTTTTGGTTTGGTTTGTTTTGGGTTTGTTTAGTGTGTGTGTGTGTGTGTGTGTGTGTGTGTGAGAGAGAGAGAGAGAGATTTCACATCTTCAACTTCATCCTCTTAAAAATAAAACTACCTTTCATGAATTTAATTATATTTGACCAATTCTAACAGAAATGATTTTGGGTAAGCTAAAGTACTCTACCACAAAGTGAAAACTTACTAGCTCTAGTATAACATAGACAAACAAGCATTAGATGAAGAATTGATTGGATTTTTTTTTGCTCTGGATCCATGATAAAATCACGGAAATAACAAAAGAATATACCTCTCTTGAATTGTTGGAACAATCATTTTGCTTTATTAAAATTTCTTGCCTTTGGAAAAGATCATTACATAGAAAAAGCATTAACAAATCTTATAATAGAAAGAGATGAGCAAATGAAATCAAAATCAAATTTATTCACATACATTATTAATACATAATAATGTAATTGACTTGTTACAAAAGTATTCAAAATGTAGTGCTAAAAAGTAGCAAAATTAGAATAACTAAGGTCTATGTATAAAATATCTTATAGGACGTTTTTGGTTTCTAATACTTAAACATGCAGAATGATCTTCCAAAAGAGAAAGAAATCTATGCTGGTTTAAACTTTCAACAGAATTACATATGAACAAATATTTCAAAGTTTTCTTTCTTCACAAACTCCGAAAGAGAATCATAAATTATTTACCACATAGTTTCCAATATTCCAGAAATGTAACTGTGCTTAAAAATTGAGGTAATACTATTTAGATGATCCATGAATAAACTCATTTCACGGTAGGATGGTAGGCACATCCAAAGTCAAAAAAACAGAAAAAAGCCCTAAACAACAACAGTAATAGCTATAACTTCCCAACAAAGGGACTTTCTGTCCATGAAATGTCCTACAGAAGAGAAGAGCAGTGCTCTTGAACCTATGGATTCAAATACGGCAGATGGGCAGCAGATATGAAATTTAATGCCTATAGAAAAGGGTGGGGATGACTTCTCTGAAGTGTTGAGATAAATCCCCTATATTTCTGAATGATAAACGAGACCAGAAAAGTAAGTTATTTCAGGAACAATAAGATCAAAATAATAATGGGATCAGTTGTTTGTGATTATCTAAATACCAACTGGACTAACACACTCACCTTATGGGCTAATCATGAAATATCAGTCTTGTATATAATACCAATTTGGAGAGAATGTGATTTAGCTTAGACAATAATGCAAGATTCTACTGCATTTTTTATTCTTATTTCAATAATCAAAGCTTGTCTTCAGCTGAAATGTGTGTACATGTGTGTATTTACTTATTTAAGATTTTTCTCTTCCCGAATAAACCAAAAAACAAGGAAAATAAAATTACGATTGAATATTTTAAAATACTGCCTTAATTAATTTCAATAGTAATCCAAATCTAAGCCAGTATTTTCATTTTATAAATATTAATACAGTGTTCATTGTGGTCTAGTCATTTTGTTTATGAAAAACTACATAAATTGAAAAAAAGAGGGGAAAAAATGTCATTCTATTTTCCACCCTAATGAGCTAAAAGATGGATAGGATTACTAGAAGAAGAAAAAAAAACTTTAAAAAATTCCAAATTACCTTCATCAATGTACCATGTATTTTTTGATTTGGTTTGTGGTTGAGAATAAACAGAACCACCATTTAAGGTGTAAAATAATTCAGATCTGCTTCTATTTCCAGGGTCTGAGGTAGATCCTATGGATCAAGAGAAGTTCCTTTTTAAAACTCCAAGATTTGGTGAAAGGAAAGAAAGAAAAAAAGCTACGTAGATCTACATGCATACAGAGTCAACAACCAATTACACAATCAACAGATACACAAACACAACATTATTTTGTTGTTTTCAATTTTAAAACTTTGTTACCATTTTGGTAAAGCTAAAAAGATTTGTATGCTCAAGTGTCAATATGGGAGAAGAGAATTAAGAAAAACCTGGTCAGTATTATTTTGTAATCAAAATTTTTTTTAATAGTTCTTTTTTTTTGCATACAATTTTTCACTAGAAAAGTCAGCCTTTCCTAATATCAGGTGAAAAAACTTGGTCTATTAGAATTTTATTTTAAAACCATTTCTTATTTACATAAAAACTATGCTTATCAGGTTTTCTATAACCTATTTCATCATTACAGGTGCATTAAAACAAAGAAAAGATTCAGTAACTGATTTCATTTAAATTTTTTTTAAATCAGCCTTTGAAACTATAGGTTACAAAATTCCTTTCTTAGTTTCTTCATGCACTGAACAAAAAGTAACACAACATTATACAGGCAATGCTAAAAAGATTTCATAGCATAGTCCTGCCTGATCCCCATCCTGCAGAACACACTCCTAAGGAATCAAAAGTAGTGAAATCTCTAGGATCTATTCAAAATCTGATTTTCTTTGATAAACCAACCAGTAATTATACAAAGTAGTTTCAGTTTTGGTATTTTAGAAGTCTGTCATCAGACCAACACAATTTAGCATGTATATAGATATAATTAAGATATCTGTGTACATATATATATGGGGGAGGGGGGAGACTGGGTGGCTTTTAAAGAATAATGAACTGTCTAACCCAAAAAACAAAAGTTTATATCCTTTTTGAGTTATAGATCAGTCAATATCACATAGGATCCAAGACCATACAAAGTCCAACATACTTTGAAGCATTTTTGTGCCCAAAGTACCTCTACAATATACTTTCCTCTAAAATGATTTGAAATAGTATTATTTAGCTGATATATCCCATCCTAACCCATATTAAGAATCTCATGCAACTTTTCAATATTTTAAAAAGACTCAGTTAATTGATGTGTAACTACCACCCACGCAGTACCTACAATACTTACGGTGTATTTTTTAATGAGACCTCCACAAATACACAATACACACACACACCCAACAGGAGTCTAGTATGAAGGAGTTTCTGTGGTCAGTGGCTAGACATGTTTGGGAAGGAAAAGGCCCACATATTCCAGAGGCCCAGAATTTTATATATCCTACTGATGGTTAGTAAAGTTCATATGATTATCATTAAGATACTTCATCTTATGCAAAATAACACATCTGTGAAAACTGTATACAAATAAAGCACTATATAAGAGCATAAAGCACTATGTACATGTATAATTACAAATAATAATTTTAAACCACTAAATTTACAATTCCAAATTGTTTTTCACAATGTTTCAAGTCAAAGGTACCCAAAATTAGTCAATTTTGATTGACAGGCCTTAAAAACCTGACCTAGCTGATTATGCTCAAGCAATAGCTGTATCCTTCACCACCTAGGCCCCAGTGACCATTTTCATCTGCTAAAAAGGCTGAAAACCCTAGCCTCAAGTCAAAAATTTCATACAAAATTTTCTTCCATTACCAGAAATGTCAATGTATTGCTTAAGAATATGTAACTCAATCCTGACCTCTGTTAGTCTCTAATATCAGAATCACATGTTAACAGAAACTCTCATTCTATTAAAGCATACCTGTAGCCTTTGGTTTACTATGACTGGATAAACTTTTATCCCCACCACCTCTTGGCATAAACGCAAGTTTGGGAGGCCTTCTTTCTTGTGTCACACTATCTGAAACATGAGATATGTTTTTCAAGTCTTCAATTTTAAGAAGTGTATTAAAGCAAAAACAGTAAAAATCAAGCAAAAGCTATTTCTAGAGTAGATCAAACAAAAGTCAATATTTTCACAGCCAATTTGTCACAAATTTACAATTTTGTGGATTCCACCAAAGATACAAAAAGTGTCTTACCTTCAAAATCTATTACAAGAAGTTACAGTCAAAAGAAACAATAGTCCTAACTTTATTTTGAAGGTGAGAAAATGGAGGTCACAAAGAAGGGAAGTTATTTGCTTAGATTTACACTACTAATAAAAGAGTAAAGTCAGGACCTGAACCCAGGTCTTCTGATTCTACATCCAGTGATCCCTGCACTAAACCATGTTTTATCCTTAAAATTATATTGTCTCTCTGACTGGAAGGTGGGGCCATGAATTCCAAACCCTCCATTTAAGGGAGGGAGCTCAGCTAAGACATATCATTTCTCACATGGCTGAACTCCTTTTGGACTTGGCCAACTTCTCCACCAAGCCCTGGAAAGTTCATTATTGGGAACTTTCAATATCTCATCAGCCCTGGTATTTCACCTTATCATCACTTTCCCTTTTCCTTGCCATATTTAGCTTCCTTTTTGTATACTGCCATTCTCTCTTTAGATAATAAGCTCCTTGAGGGCAGGGACTGCCTTCCTTTTAGCTTAGCAAGTACCTGGCACATAGCTTAATAAATGTTTGGAAAAAGTTATTCCTACTCAAAATTTTTTAAAAAGCCAAAACTCATCCAGCTTAATAATGACACCATCTTTTCAAAGCTTAGCCATTTGTAAACATGCTCAGTCTGGTATTTAAGATTACAAATAAAAATTCAAGGATAGTTTAGGATTTTAAAATTATTCAGAATTTAATTATGTATGGTGAATACAGATATAAATGCAATATGTAAAACACAGAGGCATATGCCCATAAGTTAGCATCCAAAGACAATAATAATTTTTGTAGCAGATTTCCTAATGTAATTCTAAGAAACACCCATAAAGTTTTACAAAGTGACATTTAGTAACAAGACCAGTACAATATCATAAATTCTATTTTGAGTTAAATATTCAATATATTGAAAAGGTATCTGTGTAAAGGTCAATATGGAAATATAGTCCCTGAAAAAAGTCTATATTACATTCCACAAGATGTATATAATACTTAAAAATCATACCTGATAATGCTGTAAATTGGCCCAAATCGTATCATCCAAGGTAGAATTTGGCAGATAGGAAAAAATGGAGAAAATTTACATTTTAACACAAGGAAAAGCTACTTTTAAAACAGGATAGAAGGAAATCATATTATATCAATTAGCTCCAATTAATGACTGGTCATTTTTCCAGTGAGGAAAAAGTACACATTTTAAAGTACCACACTACATTTACTATAGTAATTAGCCTTAACTAGATGCTTGAACTTTTAAGTAAATTGCAGCACAGAGTATTTCTTTTAATTTACAAATTAAACTAGTAAATTATTTCAAGCCTATGACAAATTAAAGAGAAAAAATGCCAAGTACAATATTAATCAATCAAATAAAGCAAAAAAGACATTTTCTTGGGTTCTCCCAATATAGTAAAAGGCATAGCATATCACAGATGTTCAAGTGCAGAAAATAACAGAAAGTCACAAGTTTCAAAATATATCAGGGAAATTGACTGAGAATAAATAGCCTTATTATTAAAGACAATTAACTGATATAAAAGACCTCAAAAGTCAGTCAATTCCAAGTACATGACATATAAAACATACACATTATATATTAACATACACAATTAAAAGTAATAATAGTAATTACCACAGTAACTGTTGTTATATTTTTTCCCTCTCCTTTCTCTTGGCTGCTCCTGTGGGAGCAGTGATAGCCCCTGTCTCACAAGATGACAAATATAGGTGCAGCTCATATGTCTGACATTTGATTCCCAAAGAAAGCATGTATTCAACATTTATTAATGTAATGCCAGACAAAGGCTTGACAATTATTGTTTATTTACAGTCTACAAAAAAAATAATGTAGTAAAGATCAAAATGCATTGGCAAAGCACACAACAGAAATATAAATGGCATGTTGGGGGAGGGGAAAGCAAAGAAATACAGTTAATTGCTACTGAAAACTCTTGGATGATTTAAATTTCAAACCAACTTCGAATATGGAAAATTACACTGAGAGAAACACAGATGATGCAGAGTAGAAAATACTTCAAATCTTTCTTCTATACTTGGAGTGTTCTATGCTGAGGAAAACACTATCAATTATACATGAGCTAAACTTCACAGTTTGGTTGTTTTTTTCTTTCTTAAAACATATACTAAAAATGGACAATTTCCTGAGACTTCTAGTGCCCTCAACATGTGTTCATTTTTAAATTTAAAAAAAAATCAAAGAAATTTAAACAAGGTAGGCTAAGTTTAATAAAATCAGCTTTTCTCTCTTAGCAATAAAAAAATGCAGTCAGAAAATTATTATTTTCATAAGATATGGAAAAAAAATAAAATAAAATGTGCTGTAAGCCCCTGAACATGTTTCTGAATTGGTTTAGAAAGCTCAAAATTAACCATGTAATCTTAAAGAATAATATTGGATAAGAGATTTATAACTGGAAAGAACCTTAGAGAGCTCATCTAGTCCACCCTTCATTTTACAGATAAAGAAACTGAGGCAGTGATTTGCCTGAGGTCACATGAGTGGTAAGAGAACTGGGATGTGAACTCAAATCCTTAACTTCAAACCTGGCACACCTTCCCCTAACTTATTCTACTTTATTAATTCAATTTACCAGTCATTATTAAAAGTCTTAATAAAAATAAGTACATTTGTATATTTTACAAGAAATACTACACTTTGGTTGAGATGAACTTAATGTCTCATTATAGGGATAACCTCAACATCCTGCAAGATCTCATCACACCTCATTACTATTCTCTGCCTCTCTGACTGGCGGCTGGGGCCATGAACTCCAAACCTCCAGTTAAGAAGAGAAGAGTTGAACTTAGGCATCTCATTTCTCACCTGGCTACATTACTTTGGGACTTCTCTAACCGATTTCTCCACCAAGCCCCACGAAGGCCGTTACTAGAATAACCACATCATCTTATAAGATCTCATCTGCCTTGGTATTCCACTTCCGGCAAATCTCCCAACTCCTTTTAGCTTCCTTTTGGGTGTTGCCTTCTGCCATTAGATTATAAACTCCTTCACGGTAGGGGCTGCCTTTCGTTTTTCCATTTGTATCCCTGGCACATAGTAGGGATATGTGCCTTGATTGATAAATGTTTACTGACTATTGTTTATTAATATGATCAAAAAGCAAGCTCCCAGAACTTGAGAAAATTGAATTTACACTTTAAAAATGGCATTCATAAAAACTAATGAAGAATTATTTTTGAGATTTCATCATTTTAATTTTTTTAATGTAGTGAAATGTTTTGTTTTAATATGACAGTTCCCTGGGCTGCATCTGTTTGGGAAGCCAGGAGCTTCCTTGAAGCTATTGAGCAGAACCACATGACCAACTGTCAGGAACCTCGTAGAGTCCTCCTGGCTTTCTTGACTTCCTTCAAGCTTCAGCTAAAATCCAAGCTTCTACTGGGACGCTTCTCCCAGTCCTGCTTAATGCTAGTCCTTTCCTTCTCTTGATTATTTACAATTTATCCTGTATATTGCTTGCTTACACATAACTGTTTACATGTTGTCTCCCCCCCTTAAGAGTGTGAACTCCTTGAGAAAAGGAACTGTCCTTTGCCTTTAGTGTATCCCCAATGCTTAGCACAAAGCCTGGCACAGAGCAGGTGCTTAATATGTTCACTGACTTGAAAAGAAAATTGTAATTCCCAACAAACCCCATTACAGGAAAGTTTTATCAGTAACTATTAAGAAATATTAATAAATTATTTACCAATTAACAGAAAGGAAGAATATGTCTTTGATAGTACATTACTAACATTGGCATTTTTTGTGCCATAATTTTTTACTTCTCAATGTTGTCTTTATTTATATAGTTTTAATTGTGTATGCTATTCTTTTGTCTTTTACACAGCTATTTTTAAAGTCTGTTTCTTATACATTTCTAATGTATAAGATAGAGAAAAAAGTAACTAATCATAGAAAGGATAATATGATAGGAAGGCTCCCCATCTTTTAGAGTCCATTAGAAAATATCTGTGGGACCTTGGGTCAGCCTCAATTTTCCCATATGTACAATCAGGAAAACAACAGCACCTACTACACTAGATTCCAGTGGGGATCAAAATCAAATGAGAGACTATATAAAAGTGCTTTACAAAATTTAGAGCACTATAAATGTTAATTATAATTAATATTACTGTATATCTTTCTGATTAAGTGACAATAGGATAACCCATGAAAATACCCTCATTTACTTATGAACAGGTCTCATTTATATTAACTATAATAATCATCATACTAATGATGGTAGATCATGGATTTGACTCTTATGTGGCTTTGCCCTACTCCATGGCTACAGGCTAATAGCCTAAACTTGGCCAGGTATCACAGAAACACACATCACTGATCATAAGAGAAACAGGATGGATGAGAGTGGATGGATCTAAAAAAGTCCATCATCATTACCATAAAAACAACTCAAAATTTGTACCTTACTAAGAGGGATCTTTCTATTCACTTTTTATTGCATCATTTTTCTACTGTTATAATGGTAGGCCAAAACAGCATGAATATAATCATTATGAAATCAAAGACATCCACATATACTACTTGTTTTTGTATTTTGCAGACTTGTTTCAAAGAAGCCATAAAGTATCCTAGAATTTCTAAATAGACTTTTGCAAATGACTATATATTAGAAAATGCTAAAGAAATATCATATTAAAATAGAAGATCTAAACTTGACATTTCTAGGTTAAATAACTTTTAAACATAAAAGTTATTAGTGAAAATATAAAATGCATGAGAATGTTTTTTGTCTAATGCAAAATTCTTGTTCCTAAAGTACAGGAAAGGAATAGCCAAGATTCTAATTATTGGAATAAAAAAATGATTCTTAAGAATTCAAGTACATAAAAGTATCTCAGACTATAAATCAAAAATGGGATATAGCAACCAACCATTTGTCTCATACCTTCTATAATATACCTCCCCTTGTAACTTAAAAAACCCAGTGAAAAAGTACTGCAGTTTTTCTAAGGTCTTGCCCATCTTTAGCCTCCTTAAATATTACTTGTCAACCCACCAGAAAAGGAATGACCAATCAGTTATAGCTGAATAAAACTTAAGAATCATCTAATTCAGTTCCTGCACTTCATAAATGAGAAAACTGAGGCATTGAGAAGAAATGAAGAAGCAATTTAAAAGTTTTAGTCATGCCAAAAATAGCATTAGGGCCACTAGAATAAAAATTGCTTCAGCTTGCCTGCCCAATGGTGCTATTAATCACAGGAGAACTAGAAACAGAATATCACTATAGGAACAGCTGCTTAGGAATAGGGATAGGACTGATCCTGAGACTTCATTGGTTTAGGGAACTTGCAGATAAATTTTTTTTTTTTGGTAGATAGTATTTTATTTTTTTCCAAATACATGTAAAGACAATTGTTAACATTAATTTTTATATAAAATTTTGAGCTCCAAATTTTCTCCCTCTCTCCCTCCCTCCCTTAGGATGACTCTTGGAAACAATTAAAATTGAATGGGTGATCCTGAGCAAGTCTCTTCACCTTTCTTTGCCTCAGTTTTCTAATCTGTAAAATGGGTGGATGGGTAGAGTCAGAAATGATGACCTCTAAAGTTCCTTTTATAGAGGGGCAGATAAATTCTTTCTACCATTGCAGGTCAGCATCTTCTCTGCAACTTATAATTTTAAAGGGTTAGCCAGGGCATTGAGACCTGCCCATGGTCACACAGACAGTAAGTTTGGCTAAACAAGTAATCTGTGTAACCTTCAAATCTTTCCATGCCAAGTACATCCAGAAGATGTACTAAAACTCCAAGTCACTGCTTGCAGGGTTTGTCATCTTTTACAACTCAACTATTTTTTATTCATGAACCACGTGACATACTTCAACAAATATTCTCAACTTCTGGTTTTATGTTAATATTAAAGATAACATTCTACATAATAGAAATGCAAAAAGCAAGATTAAGACTTAGTTAATATTTTTAAAATTAGGCATTTAATATGCCCACAGTATTTCATAGCTGATCCAGAGAGGATATGTACTAGGGTAAAAGAACTTGCTGTGTAGAAATTGCGTCCTTCATTCCACCATCCCCACCCCTTCCTCCCACTGGCCAGAGAGAAAGAGAGAGAAAGAGAGAGAGAGAGAGAGCAAAGAGGGCCATAAGCTGGGCTGTTTATGATTTATAAAAAGTGCAAGTTTAAAATCCTTATAGAAATATGGAGAATTAAACATAATATAACTGTAGTATAAGGAAAGATGAATGATAAAGGTATACATCCCACCTGACTTCTAAAAAGTAAGAGCAGCATTTGTTATTTGTTTTATGGTAACAACGAAAATTTTCTGTGTAATTATAGTACTATAATAAAAAATAAAAGCTGAAATATGTGCTAATTAGAAAGCTACTATAAGGTTTTGGGCTTTATACAGGATGTCTGAATATACAGACTGTTTTGTAAATATATAAAACATACCTGGGATGATGTCATTGATATGCAACAGAAGTGTACTTTCAACACTTGCAAAACTACAAAGTTGTATCCCATTGAATCTTCCATCCCAATTTCCAATAGGATTATCCTGGAAATAAAAAATAAAAACATACTAAAAACTCTTCCTATTTAAAAAAAATGCTGAATACAGAAATTTATATTTTCAGTTTTATGTTATGCCAGAAATTTTTCTTTAAATAATTTCATCTTTTAGGCTTAAGAGGAAAATTGATAAAATATGAGAAGCTTTTATAAAAGGACTATCAGTACACTTTAGAAAATGTAAGGTTGGGGCAGCTAGGTGGCGCAGTGGATAGAGCACTGGCCCTGAAGTCAGGAGGACCTGAGTTTAAACCCGGTCTCAGACCAAAAACACTTGACACATACTAGCTGTGTGACCTTGGGCAAGTCACTGAACCCCAACTGCCTCACAAAAAAAATAAAAGGAAAGAAAAAAAAAGAAAATGTAAGGTAAGAACTGTTGTAGTAAATCTATAGGGCAAGGTAGCTAAATTTTTCTTCACATTTTACTGTGTATATTTCTGCATAACCATGTTCCCCTTCTACAAATTACAACATTAACATTAATCTAGATAAAAACTGTTTCCAAAATTAGATTTTTTTCCCTCCTCCAGAAGTAACTCTCTTATTAAAACTGTTCCCATTATGATTACTTGTTAACATCTTTTTATACTTTTAAAATTTGCATTTTGTTATTCAATGCACAACATAAATAATACTTTAAAAATATGAGAGAGCACAAATATGCTAAGATCTGCACTGTTGGAAGGACTGATGAGATCACAAGTCTATCAAAGTAACAGTATGTCTTATTCTATATTTTGGGGGTACAATACTTTGAAACAATTCTATCATTTCATGCATTTCAGCTTTGTTTCCCCAAATAAGGAATAAGCTCCTCCTGAGGAGGATGCTTATCTTAGATACAACTCCGTAACACCTAGGGCAGTGCCGTGAATATAATAAATACATAATAAATGTTTATTTACTATTATTTATAATATAGAACACTCAAAGTCAATTGATCATAAGACCAGAAAGACTTGGAAAGCCCAAAATCTTCCTTTTTGCCCATCAAAAATTATGCCTAAACTAACAAAGTCAGGTTTTCTAAAATAAAAATATAAGAAGTGAAGATTCTACAACCTCTTATTCAGGCGTTTAATAGTTCTATATTAAATTCTTTCTTATGTCTAACAAATTCTCCATGTTGAAGTTTAAATTCTTTTCTTTCTTTTAGTACAAAGCAGAGATGAAGAACAAGTCTCCTATAAACCAAAAAACTAAAAGCATGCTTTTATCCCTCTTTCTTTTCTCCTAAGTAAGTAATGCTACAGCTAAAACCAAATTTTCCATGTAGGAATACATTAGTTGTTCTGATTAACGGTTTACTTCTTTATTACTCTTACCTCAAAACAATAGCAATATTCAAAATTACCTCTTTTAAAGTGCTTGTTCTTATATTACATGACATTTTCTCATATTCAAAAGCAAATCCTATGTAAGTAAACCAATGCAACACTTTTCATTAAAGCCAAATCTTAACCCAAAAAGTGGAGAAATGTCTCAATGACAGACAACAAATACAGGATTACACTCTTGGATTAAAAGTGAAAGAAAACAATATAATATGATGAAATAGGCATAAAGTTATTTTGAAAAAGTAAAGAGGAGGAATTAATCACTGTCACAACTAGATAGAATGAACTCTATTACAAAACCTACATTCCTGACTTCTTTCAATATTCAAATTCCCCAAAGTCAATCACACTTAGAAAACACTTTTACAACCATATCCCAAGGATGATCCACCTTAAACATTCAACAGGCAGTTTTCTTGTTGATTTAATAAACAGCTTGAACGTTTAACTAATACATATTCAAACCCCCCTAAAATTAAACCTTACAGTTTCTTACCATGTCAACTCCAACAAAGTATCCTAAATTCTCTTTTCCTGGCAAGACATCACAGAATATAACTGTTCCAGATTCTATACCTTCTCCAACCTTCAAAGAAACTCTGGAGTTTATTTCCAAAGGAGGAAGTTCAACCTGCATCATGTCAACTGGACCTGCATAATCGCTTTCCAGTGCATTGTCATCATCTTCTATAAGTTCTAATTTGTCCAAAGCCACGAAGACACCACAATCTTCATCACATCGGAAGAGCTGTTTCCCTTGGTAAACTCCATCAGTGAAACCTTGACCACGACCTTCTTCCTAGATTTAAAGAGAGAAAAAAATTACTATAGGTAGTATTAGAGATCATTTTAGAAAAGTCCAAATGTAAATAGTAAAAATATGCAACAATTGTCTAAAGCTCAGACAGTTACCTGACTGAAGGCAAAAAGACTGTCTGTAGATAGAAAATACAGTAAAAGTTATAATTCAATGAATTTACATATGAATGGATTAATTACTTCATAGTTTTGACAGTTATCATAAGAACTAAATCAATACCTGTGAATAAACATTTTTTATTCATTTTTAACAGTTAACAAGTAAATATAAATGATTCCATTTACAAAATGGTAAAAATGCAAAGCTCACGCAACTGAAAAGTACAACTGGCATTTAGTTTTGTACGATATGATACCCTTTATAAATAAATGTAATAAATATTTGCATAATGATCTAGCATGTTTTAATAACCACCAATATTTCATAAAATAATCAACTTACATGTTTACATGTGTATAAAATCATGATTTTTAAAGTGTTTTCATGTATGTTACCTCCCTTAATCTTCAAAACTAGCACATGAGAAGGGTAGGTATTACTAAATTTATTTTACAGATGAAGAATCCAAAGATCAAGGAATTAAGTGGCTTGCCCAAGCTCATTCAGCTCATGAGAAGAAGAAATTGGGATTAAAATCTAGCTTTTCTGAGTCAATTCAGTACTCTTTCTACTATACCTTGCTGCTTCTCTGCCTATCTAGAAGAAATGATTTAAAGATGATTTTCCCAGATAGTCCCAGGTGAGACAACTGTCAAGCTACTATAGCTTATAGCAAAGTTTTGTCCAGATTATCCCCATATGCCAGCTTATATGTTGTAGTAGTAGTAGTAACAAAAACTAGCATTTATATAGCACTCACTATATGTCAGGCATTGTGCTCTCTTTTCAAACATTATTCATTTGATGTAACCCTGATAGGTAAGTACTATTATTATTCCCAATTTACAGTTCAGGAAACTGAGGCAAATAGGCATTAAATGATTTACCCTGGGTCACACAGCTATTAAGGGTCATATTTGAATTCAGGTCTTCCTGACTTATATAACTTCTATATGATTTATATATAACAAGAGAGAACAGTGTCTGAGAAACGCATCAATGATTCATCTTAATACATTTAGGAATTTATTTAATTGATCAATCAGTTTGCAATTCTGGTATTGTTTTAGTAGAATTTGTTTTTTTAAATGTATCAGAAATTTCAGAGACAAGATTTTAAATACTGTTGTTTATGTTTAACTGCATTCTCTTTTCTAGTTTTTAAGTAAATCATTCTGAAACGTCCAATATAGCATTACATTTTTGGTCTTAACAATCAGGCCCTAAAAGACCTCAGTATATCCCTGAGGGAAAGAATACAAACCTAAAGAAAAATGACAATTAAAACACAAAAGTCTTGTGAAAACTCTTTAACTATATACTTTTCCCCTTCAACACCCTCCCCCCACCAAAAACAAAAAACAAAACATACTACACATTCCAAAATTGCTTGTCACACTTACCAGCAACTCTACTCCAAAGAATATTCCCGACACTGTCCTCTCCGTTAACAAGGGTCCTCTGAAGCGTACAACTCCAGGAAATTTTTCTTCCCCAGATCTCAGCTGTACTTTCACAGGGCATCCCACATCTATTTGGAGGCCTTTACTTAGTCTGCTTCTGTTTTTAAACAGACTGTATCTTTCCTCACAATTGGTAATTGCCAAAAGCAATTCAGTGAATTTTTCATTTATTTCTACTACATCCTTCTCATCCACAAATAGGATTGCATGTGGCTGCTCCAAAATTTTTAATCCAATATGATTTTTCTTGCCTTTAGAAAGAGGAATTCTCGCATGCCCCAAAGAACGATCTTGAATATATTGTCCTATACTCCCCTTTGGTACTTTAAGAATCTTTTGTGTTTGTTTGTCTGAAACACTGCATTCTTGAAGAAGCAAATAAAAAATCCGTTCTTCCAAATAGGGTGAAGTAACTTTTTCTTGGCTCCATAAGCCTGAATTCATTGTGATTCTACGTTTGAAAGATTAATTCAAGAAAAAGGAATCACTAGCATATTTGCAGTAAAATGTCTCCCCACCACCACCAAAAAAAACAAAACAAAACACATTCACTGGCAATCTCAAGCTTTGGTTTTAGCAAATTGATGTCCATTTTCTAAAAATATCTCAAATCAAAAAGCCTAGAGGACAAGCAAAAAGAAGTTTTTAACTTTTTTTCAACATAAACTATGATAAAAGTTATATCACTTTTATTATGATTATGAATATGTTTGCACTTGATGTTACCCTAGGAATATTTCAAATATATCCAGGAATAAAGGATTTGTACATATATGTATTATAAAACATGTATATATACCAATACATAGGTACATATTCACAAGTATTTTATATACAAGTATAATTTTGTGATTTTTAAATAACTGACTTGGGAAATAAGTGGCATACCTTATTGCAACATCAAGTGGGTTAAATGCTAGTATGGTAGTACTTACAAACAAATTCAATTTGTAAAATTCAAAGATGAGGGAAAAAAATCTTGAAATCTCAAAATTTACATAGAAATTTTTAAAATTTTTATTAATACAATCATCAAATTTTTAAAGTTTTAAAACAAGAAAACATTTAACTCTGCTAAGACTTATTAAGAGTAAACTTATTTTGACATGAAACCTATAAAAGGTTCATACATTTAAAAAAAAGTCTAACATCTGTGCTTTATAAACATTATTTAACTCAGTGATGGCTACTAATACTACATACACTGGTTCAAGAGTCTGTAATTTTTATATGCATGTGTATGTGGAGGGAGAATGAAAAGGCACACATATTCATCTTGAACCAGGGAATTCACTTTCTAAAAATCATAGAATCTGACCTGGAAAGGACATTATTTCCATTCAATTTAACTCCAGTCCCACTCTCACCCTAATTTTACATAAGAGGAAAGTGACGCCTGAAAGGTGACATGATTTACCAGAGATCTCACGGCTCTTACTTCACATATGCTGAACTAACCACAACTAATTTTTTTGGTATGTCATATTTTGGTCAATGAAACATTTCACCTCTGAATCATTAGTATCATTTCTCTAATCTTAAAACATTTTATGCCTAAACTTTTTTTTTCCAGTTTTTAACAGCCATGGAACTAATTTATATCATAAAAGGCCTACTAGAAATTGTAAAAATATATAGCCTCATTACTATTTTATTAGGGGCTTAATTCCTTGAACATTTTTAATAGATCAAATTCATAGGCTTTGATGAGAATAATTGTGTCTGTATATATCCTCTTTATAATAAAATGGCTGTTCAATTCCTGAGAAATAACAATAATAATAGCTAACCTACCACTAACTAGGTCATACTACTAACATAGTACCTACACTGTGCTAAACTCTTTAAAAATATCATCTCATTTGATCCTTAAGACAATCCTGAGAGGTAGGTACTATTATTATCCTCACTTTACAGATGAGAAAAATGAGGAAAACAAGAGGCTAAGTAGCTTGCCCAAGGTCACACAGCTAGAAAACACCTGAGGCCAAAGTTGAATTCAGGTCTTACTGATTCTAGGCCTTGTTCACTACTCATTGCACCACCTATGACTGTATCTGTTTTACTTGTGACACAAATGTCCATTTCTCTTTTCTGCATAATTTACAGTATCCCCATATTTTCCAGATCTATTCAATTCCTGACTAGGTCTTGTTTATGAAATATAATAATCAAATTTTAAAGTTCAATCAAATTAAAAAGGCCAAGTAAATCTATGCATAAAGTACTCCATTGACAAAGCACTGTCAGTAATAAAGTACTCCTACAAGTCAATTCTCCAGATATGGGAAGCTGAAATTCTCACAAATTATTATATAGTTCAATATCTTATTCAATAGAATGGAAGGTACATTAAGTTAAACTTTTTGATGATGACTGGGGGGTCCTCTTTGTGAATGAATTGTGATACTGTGCTATAATATAGTAACCAACTCAAGGACCATTAGGATATTTAACCACAGGTCGAATGGTTGCAGATTAATTTTATTTTAGCATGGGATTCTGCTTTTTACAGTTTTTCTATCTTCCCTTTTGACATTTGACTGTCACCTTTTGCTGTCTGCCTGCCTCTAGAAGCCAGCCCTCTCTCTTCTTAATTTGCAGCTTTTGAGCTATACAGACATAGGAAGCTACACAAGTCAGCTTTTAAGCTTTGTATGAAAAACAAAAATATAAAGGCTGTGAGAGAAGGACTGAAGAGGTTTACTATGAATTAAAACATATGGGCACTTTTTTAGTTCATGGAATATGCTTGGAGGATCATCTCTCTCCCATTTTCCCCTCAAGCCTCAGGGTTCTCAGCTCCATGTAAACTAAGGTTACATCTCGATGAGTTGAGGTTATCATTTTTAAGTGAGAGTGTGTGTGTGTGTGTGTGTGTGTGTGTGTGTGTGTGTGTGTGTGTG